AAACAATGCAGTCTTGTTTTCCTCTCATGTAGCATATCGTATCTTAAATTCTCATAAACCAGAATGTATTCCCCACTTTTCTGCTGTGAATTTGAAACAAAGCCTTCAAGCTATTTATTATTTTTTTTTTTATAGTACTGTAGTTCCAAATAATGCTGTAGAGCTAGCATAATTTTCGTTTCCCAAACTGTGCTGGAATATAATCCAAGAGTTATATCTAGCAGCCTACACTGAGCATCCTGCAAGGGGACCTCAGGGAAAGAACAATTAACTCAAGAGTACTAGAAGCAGTTTCAATCACCTAGCCAGTTCTGTTGAAGATCTGAACCACCCAGCTTTTCTAAGGCAGTGAAAGATATCCCAAATCCTTTGTCTTGCTACTCTTTTACTGTATAATGCTACTGTAGATAAAATTGGAAGAGATCACCAAATACCACAACTTCAAAAGATCACTCATGGAATGAAAGCTCTAGAAACACTTCCAATGAAAAAAAAGAGTTGCTTCCAGGTCAGTGGTGGGTTTCAAATTTTTTTACTACCGGTTCTGTGGGTGTAGCTTGGTGGGTGTGGCTTGGTGGGTGTGGCAGGGGAAAGATACTGTAAAATCTCCATTCCCTCCCCACTCCAGGGGAAGGTTACTGCAAAATCCCCATTTCCTCCGGATCAGCTGAGACTTGGGAGGCGGAGAATAGATGGGGACGGGGCCAGTCAGAATTTCCACTACCGGTTCTCCAGAACTGGTCAGAACCTGCTGCAACCCTCCTCTGTTCCAGGCTAACCTTTTTCTCCGCAATTGCCATAATCCATTTTCTGTTTTTAAACTGAAAATCCAGATGACATGGTGATCAAATCATTACTTTCCATTTGGCAGAAAAAGTGATCAACTTCTCTTTTGTTATCTATTAGTTATTTTGCCCTTTAGAAAAGAGGGTGAGAAAAATATGGAAAGAGAGTAGGAATTAAAGCATTGCCTCCTGCAAGGCACAAAAGCTGGGGGAAATGTGAGGCAGCTCATCCCCAATGTGCTGGATGTGAAGCAATAAAAAGAGCATAATGTGCAAGTACAACACCATTAACATTAAAAAAAATGCTGAATAGGGCAAGTTGTGAAGTTTCTCGGCCCCGGGGAAGGGGTGATATAATACATGAATGTATGAATATAAACAATATATTAAGCATTCTGCAGAATCTGTGTTAATCCAACTACTTCTGAAAGTCCAATGCAACTTTAGCTTCTTTAGGATCACAAATGGTCTTCTAATAGTCAAAGTAGTTGCAGCCATAAGCACTTCAGTCTGTGAGACTCCCCCCCACCATAGTCGCCCATTTTAATTTTCCTTCTCAAGCTGGGATAGACAGCCAATATTATAGGAGGAGGACCTGGGCATACTTTTAAATGTGTGGACCAACTCCCAGAATTCTCTATCCAGCAGCACCATTGCTGAGAATTCCAATAGTTCTATAAGAAGAATGAATTAGGACTTAAAATGATATAATGAGGCGGAAACCACAATAAAACAAACAAGATTGAATGCAAGATAAATAAATATGACCTTCTATGTTTAGTTATAAAGATAGTATAGGATTAAAGGGGAGGTGCCGGGGGAGGGGAGGGGAGAGTACATGTGTAAATGTGTGTTTTTCCCTTAGGCTGATAGTAACCAGCAGCAATTCTAAAGTACCCATATTTATCGGAGTATAAGACACACCTTTTCCTCCCCTAAAAGAGGGTGAAAATTTGGGTGCGTCTTATACACCGAATGTAGCCCCGCCCAGCCTCTCAAACGGAGGTTTCAGAGGCTGAAAGAAGCCTCTTAAAGGGAGGTTTCAGAGACTGAAAAAAAAGCAAGGCGCAGAACTCACAACCAACAACCCTGTTGCTAAAGCTCACCTCTGAGAACAGCTGATTTGGGGGTATTCCCAGAGGCCATCCACCCACCAATCAGCTTTTTTCTTATTTTCCTTCCCAAAAACTAAGGTGCGTTTTATACTCTGGTGCATCTTATAGTCCGAAAAATACGGTATATCAAATCTGACATGCTGTTGGAGGCCAATCAAAAGTTCCGCAGGAGGCAGGATCAGCTTGGCATCTATTGGCAATTTTAGTCTGTTATGAGCATGTCCTCTCCTTCTCAATTGACTGGTTTGCTCTTCCGCTATCCTTTTTTCCTCCCAACCCTGCAGAAAGCTGAAAGATCTATGGTCTTAAAAAGAGGAGATTTTGGCTCTTTTAAAGCCCCAACATTCACACGTGTGAAAAGCTGATTATCAGTTTGTGGAGATCCTACGTCATGAGCACCTGCTTCCTTGAAACTCTGTACTTCCCAAATTCAACTCAACCCATTTCAGTTTCCTTCAAGAATGTACAGGTAGTCCTTGACTTATGACAATTGAGCCCAAAATTTCTTTTGCTAAGTGAAACATTTGTTATGACCTTTCTTGCCACAGTTGTTCAGTGTATCACTGCTTTTGTTAAATTAGTCAAACTGTTAAGTGAATCTGGCCTTCCCATTGACTTTGCTTGTTAGAAGATCGCAAAAGGTGATTGCATGACCCTGGGACGCTGTAACCATCATAAATATGACTCAGTTGCCAAATGTCTGAATTTTGATCACGTGACCATGGAGATGCTGCAATGGTTGTGTGAAAACTGGTCATAAGTTCCTTTTTTTTTGGTGCCTTTATAACTGAATGGTCACTAAACAAACTGTTGTAAGTCAAGGACTATCTGTAAAGAGATTTGATAGAGCACTAAAACTCGTTTCTGTCGTGATTGGTGGGTGATTTCCCACCATCTGGCATACATAAAAGGATGCTGGTTGAGGTATTCTGGGAGTTGAAGTCCACACATCTTAAAGTTGTCATTGTATAGTTATGAAAAGGAGAATGACAATGTAGTCTTCTATGGGTCCAAGAGAAACGGGTCACAGTTATCCCCAATGGCATCTGCATGTCTCGCTCATTTTAACATGGCAGACAAGTGTCTGCTCCCATCTTTGAACCAATGCCATCCGAGGGGACCTCTGGAACAACATCTCCCCACCCACCCCCAATATGTTTGACAGCAACCTTGCTGGCCTTTAAAAAAGCATCAAATGCCTGACTCTTTCAGCGGCAGCCGAAAAAGCCAACACAATCCTGTTGCATTAACAGAGGGATACAATCAAGATCAAGTGAGGTACTAATACCATTCTATAAAGCTCTAGTAAGACCACACCTAGAGTACTGCATCCAGTTTTGGTCACCACACTATAAAAAAGTTGTTGAGACTCTAGAAAAAGTGTAGCGGAGACCAACCAGGATGATTAGGGGACTGGAGATTAAAATTTACAATGAATTGTTGGAAGAAATATCCTTCTGGGTTCAGCTCCAAGTGGGGAAAAAGACACTGGAAACATGCTTGGAAAGATGGTTTAATGGTGGACAGGATCACATGGCCTGAGTTCCTGAACAGAAAAGGGGCGGGATACAGCGAGTCCTTGGGTTTTATGCTTTCTCTGGCTTTGAACTTCCTGGGGCCCCGAAAGGGTATCCTGATTGGTTGTCAGACTCCCAGGGGGTGGGGGTCTTAGCTAGCCTTGCTGGCTGATCTAATCTTCCCAGGTGCCATGTGGTGAGTTTCTGTCCTAGATAGGTCCCATTGTGTTAGTTTCTGTTACTATTGTGTTGCAGATGGGTCCTATTGTCAAAGATTGAGTTTCTGCCTCTGGCCCATTAACAAAGTGGGGGAGGGAGGAAGGTGGGAGTTGCTTTGTCTTTAAAACATGTTTCTCCATTTCTCAACCAGAAACATAATATTCTGCCTTTTTAATATTTCCTAAAATATTTCATTCTTCCAGGAAAGGGGTGGGTACTAACTTCCTACAGAATGGTTGCAGGAACTGGGCATGGCTAGTCTAGTGAAGAGAAGGACCAGGGGAAGACATGATAGCAGTCTTCCAATACTTGAGTTGCCGCCACAGAGATGAAGGGTTCAATCTATTTTCCAAAGCACCTGAAGGCCAGACAAGGAATAATGGATGGAAACTGAACAAGGAGAGATTCAACCTAGAAATGAGGAGGAACTTTCTGACAGTGAGAACAATGGAACAGAAGTTGCCTTCGGAAGTTGTGGGAGCTTCATCACTTGAGACTTTCAAGAAAAGATTGGGCTGCCATTTGTCAGAAATGGTGTCAGAAATGGCTGCTTGGGTGGGGGGAGGGGGGATGGACTAGATGACCTGTAGGGTCCCTTCCAACTCTGTTAATCTGTAAATCTTTCCGCCTGCGCTGGGGGCCTAGATCGTCTCTGCCTGGAGGAGGATACTACTATCCTTACTGCCTATTAAAGAGTTTGCTTTTATTTTTAATTGGCTGGTTTCTGTAAACTGCCCGGAGTATGTAAATGTCTCATCTAAATAACACGCCTTTTAAAGGTAAATTTAGATGCGCGTGTTACGTTTTCATTCGACGCATTGGAAGGCTGGGAGAGAGGGGGGGGGGGCGTCCAGGAGAGGCGGAGCAGACACCAGCCGGACTCGCTTACAGGATGGCTGGGTGGGGGGGCGACGCTTTTCCTTTCCAGCCGCCGGGGGGCGCCCGATCGCGCGGTCCCGGCGCAATTCGACACCCTGCGCCGAGGGCGGTGCACGGCGACACGAAAGGAAGCAGCGCCTCTTCAGTACTTCCGGAACTCGGTCGGTTCCGTTCCCCCCCCCCCCGCTCACCCTGTAGTTTTCCTAGCGAGAGCGGCAGGGGGGAGCGGCGTGCCTTGAGGTCGCCGGCTGAGTCTTCGGAGCAGGCAGACGGACGGAAGGAAGGAGGCCGGTGGGGCCGCTGCCCAAACCGAGAGGTGAGCGGACTTGGCTCCCAGGCGAATCGGCCTTGCCACGTCGCTTTCTTCTCGGCTCACTTTGCGAGCGCCGCGGAGAGACTCCCAGGGCCCCTTGCTGTCCCTTCAAGCCCTCCCGCGGCCGAAGCGCTGCCCGTGGCGGACCAACCTCTCTGCTTTCCTCCCGCAGGATGGTGACGGACGTGCAACTGGCCATCTTTGCCAACATGCTTGGGGTCTCGCTGTTTCTCCTGGTCGTCCTTTATCACTACGTGGCCGTCAACAACCCGAAGAAGCAGGAGTGAGCGAATGACTGGAGCGCCCCCCCCCCCCCCCCCCCCCCCGAAAGGGAATTCGGCCCCCCTTCTTTTCTCCCCCCCCCCCCCCCCCGTCCACCCATGGATCCAGAGGCAGTGATTATCTCACACCCACCCCTCCTTTTCTTTTGACAGAATGCAGAGCCATCAGCACATGAAGGCCCAGATGCTATAGCTGTACTTGGCTTTGTTGAAACCCTGAAGATAATAAATGATTAGAGAATACACTTCATTTGCTGTATCAGACACTTGTTAATGTTTGCATCGCTTCCCAAAGCAGATTCCAACCATCAGTCTCTCTTACACACACAACACACATACATCAAAAAGAAGTAGGTTTTCTTTTGTTTTTTTTCTGACAAATGAAATTTATTAATAGAAACATGTTATAAGATAAACTTGCTTCAAAAATAGCTTCCAACCCAGTAACCAATTATGTACAGTGGTGGAAATAACATTGAAGGAAGGGTCTTGGCCACCGCTCTGGGCTGTAGTCAGACCAGGAGGAGCTGGTCATGTTATGGTTTCCACGTGTCATACATGCACCTACACAGCTTCTTGCAGTTAGCCTGGTTTGCTTCTTTTTTGAAAGGCACCTCCTTCACAAAAAAACGAATTAGATGGATTTCCAGATTTAGATGAGGATTGCTGGGAAACCTTAAGCCTTCAATGACTTGTGTAGCTGGCTACAAAAAAAGGATGCGATGTGAGGCCCTTATTCCTGGCAAAGTCTCGAAGTCAGAACTACTGGCTGCTGTCCTAAAAAGCAGCTTTGGTTTAAGAGAGGAGAGGAAGGGGGAGATTGGATCTGGAACTCATCAAGTGCCAACAAGAAGGGTCTCAAGAGGTTTCTTCCACACCAAGGGATGAGTTGGAGTCAGCTGGCATGCTGTGGGGTGGTGGCACTTGAGGAGCTAGAGCACAATGGCTGCAGCTGTTGTGCCCCCACTGGCAAGTCAGGCCTCAGTGCAGAAAGACAGGATCTTGCGGTAGGTGAGTTGGGGGGAATCTGGTCGCCCAGGGAGATGCTGCAACAGAGAGAGCTGGCTCAGAGGACTAATGATGTCAACTGCAGCTATGCTGCCCCAAAGTTTCAATAAGGAGGGTGGCTACTGCCTATACAACGGTAAAGGCGTTGCTTCTTCTTCTTCTGTCTACAAGACAAGGGTTCAAGGGGATGGCAGCGGCTGCAGGTAAGGGTTGCAGCAGCAGCTGGCTTTGCAGAGCTCCCTCCTCCCCATACCTCGTCCAGCAAAACTTTGGGAGGGCACAGAAAAAGTGATTCTTCCCTCTGACTCGTTACTGGCATTTCCAGTTGAAATTCTGTAGGAAGAGAAACAAGGTTGTATCTGTTGCTACCATCTAGTATGGGAAATCTGAGGGACTGTCCAGAAAGGACAAATGGCAGCCTTGGTAGCAGTACAGAATGCCCTGCAAAAACCTACCTGGCAAGGAACTTTGTGCTGGTATCTCTGGGGCTGCATATTTCCACACCTTGAGGGAAGAGTCATCACTGCAGCTATGAAATCTGAGTAAGTGCTGGGTTTGTCCTACTGGTCTCCTGCGTATGGGGATCCGGCTCGGCCGAGGCATCAGTATATCTAGACTGCAAGGAAAACACTTGTTGGAAGTTGTGCATCATTGTCAGTCAGTAATAAAGAACCTTAGGAATCCTAAGAGAATGCTGGACAACACTACGAATATGCACAATTTCTAGATTGGTGTTAGCTTTCTTGCTAACAGATGACTAATATGAAACTCTTCCAAACCTGATCCTTCCATGTTAGTAGGCACAAAAGGGGAAATCGTACCAATCTTTCCACCTCAGTTTATAAAACTACTATTTGTTACCTTCTAGTTGCTATTACCTAGTAGTTTCTGATAATTTTTCATTGTTCAGCCGTCTTGAAAAGTTCTGCATGGAGAAAGAGAAACCAGTTGGGATATTATCGGCAAGACAAGGATTGCCTGTAAAGCCTGTATGTCCAATGCTACCATAGTATTGGTACAGAGGATATTGATGATAAGTCACTGTGCTAGAGGGGTCCCACGATGTGTTTTTAAAGTTTGGTAATGCCAGACAACTAACAGCCCAGTGATTGATCTCTAGTGTAAGGAAAGTCCTAAACAGACTGGCAGCCCAGGGGGATGGTATTTACCCATGAGATCAAGCTCTGTGTACCAATGTAATCACTGCCTTTTACCTGTAGCAACGCTAGGCCACAAGGTGGAGGCTTCAGCTTCTCAGGGACATGCTCAGTGCTAGCCTTGGCAGTTTTATGTAGGCTGTTGCAGCTGGGTCCTGCATGATCAATGAGAGAAAGGTAAATGAGGAAGGCAATACAAGCTTACACTGAACTCCTCATACTCTGATACTTCTTAGTTGTGATTTGATTGGCAATCAGATGCAGAAAAGGCAATACTAATACCAAAACTCCAGCAGATTTTGTTTCTGTTTGGCCTGTTTGGAGCAATGAGATCCATCATATTTAGCAGGAACAGAATGATATCCCTAACAGAAACGTGGAGGTTTGTTATATCAGATCCCTCAGGATAATATTGGGTTGGCTGTATTGTTTGGGGCAGAGACTTCAGTCAAGATCCAAAGGGACTGGGATTGAGTTTTCATAGAGATTTGCTGAAATCAGGACAGCTGCTCACTTCAGACACATTAATTCCATCACCATGGAACACCATGGAACCACAAACTAGTAAGATGCTATTTAACCTGGCATGTTATGTAATTTCTGCTTATATAATTAGTTTGACGTGTTGACAAAAGGTAAATTGAATAAATTAGTTTAAGTTGTGGGAAAGTATACAAACACAGCCAAATATTACAAAGAAAAATGTATAAAATTCTTGGCTGGATACTGGATTTCTCAGATGTTTAATCCTTCCTATTCAGGTGTCAAATTTGATGATTTTATATTTCTTTTATCTGCAAATAAAGTACCATCAATATTTTTTAAATGTGACAATTATACACATGGAGTCAAGAAATTGGGAGAGATGCTGTATCTTCCTTCGTGGGTAGTAAAAAAAAAAAGTCAATTTCTGGATGGAATCCTTAGAAAAGTTGAAGATAGAAGCAGATTTGAATAAATCTTATTTTCAGTCAAACCAGAATAAATGCAAAAGTTCAATGTTGTATTTTAAAAAACAGAGGTTCATCGATGATTTGCTTGTTTCTTTTTCTCAAATTGCGGAGTCTTTGCTATATACACCTCCATCACTGATTGGATCTAATTTACTGGTTTGTCTATATATATTACTGCCACCTAAGACTAAGCTGATGCAGATTTGGCTCAAACAAGCAAAAAAGCCTCCACGTCTTCTCTCCCTTCCAAGACTTTCAATTGCTTGAGCTTAAATACATATATTACTCATTCTAAGTTGTGTTGTATAAGCAAAAACCTATTTGAGAAATGCTAACGTTTCTTCCAAATGCCATACAGAGTAAGCTGAATAAGTAAAACTGTCCTGGCAGCATATAGTGAACTTTTAAAAATCATGCTGCTTTTACCCACCATTAAAATCACATGGTGTTAGTTCCAGTTTAACTGCAAGTACAAAAACCATTTGAAAGCAGCATTTAAGAATCTGCTCAAGAATAACCCTTCTCTATCTGAATATTTTTTCTTTGATTGGAACAGCTTGAGTGGGTGGATGGGAAGAAGATGAATAGGCCCCTATAAATGGACTGGTCTGCACTGCTCCAACTTCAATGTCAAATATCTCATCACCAAATTATGTTTAGTGTCAATAAAAAAAATTTTCCAACCAATCTTGCAAGAAAGAAAAAGGATAGCTAGAGATTAGTTCAAGGAAAGAAGAAACTCCCTGAATTTTCATGCTGTGGCCTACTGTGAGTCAAGTGGTTATGCTTACACTTTAATTACTCAGGTAATATAGGTGCAACTGACATCTAGAAGGAACAGGTCAACAGAATGTGACCTGTTACATCACTTACATCTCTTCTGCCGGCATACTTCAATAGTCGGTTTAATTTTTGTTGTAGAGGCACTCTTTGGCAAAGGGGGAGAGGCAAAGTGGCATACAAACCTGGTATGTTGATAGTAGTTGGAAGGGAGCAGGAGCCTAGGCTGGGAGCCAGCTGGAGATGAGAGGTGTTTCTGGTGGAACAAGGGAGAGAGGGTGCCTGGATGCTGCTCACAGCAGCTCGTAGCAAAGTCTGGTGCTGATGGCGTCTCTTCTCCTGAACTCGAGGTTCTAAGTAGGATGAGGGACAAGCAAAATGCCAGCTCTGAAAGGTCTTGGTATCACCATCCCTTAGGTTCTACTTATTCCATTACAGAAATTACCTATGCATCATTCCTTCAGTGAAAGCTTATCTACAGTAGCATAGGAAGATGAGAGGATTCTGTTACCTTCTTGTCAACTAAGGCCAATTCCATTGTTTCAGAGTGCATTGTACTATAGACCATCTGTCCTCAACCTTTGTGGAACGAGGAACCGGTTTCGTGGAAGGCAATTTTTCCATGGACCGGTGGGGAGGCATCTTTTTGCGTGCAACCTAGATCTCGTGCGTGAAGCTTTGCTCGTTTACCCGCTGCTTGAGTGGCCCAGTTCCTAACAGGCTGCTGGCCGGTACTGGTCCGCGGCCCTGGGGTTGGGGATCCCTGCTATAGACAATTACACTATGACAAAAAGGAGAAGTGATTGCATACTTAGTGCTACTGCAAGCCATGGAAAATATAGCTGCAATGTGTGTATATGCATGGGCACATGCCCAGACAAATGTACAAGATTAGGACAGGCTGTCCTGATATTTTCAGGAACAAGACAGAATAACCCAAGGTATTACTGGAAAGCTCAAGTTTCAGAAAAGCTGACAACATTTCATCCTTGCAAGGATGTCAATTTCTTCTGCCCTCCGCCACATGTGGAGATTGGTGCTTATATTGTACTGCAGGCTCTTGAGTCTGGGGAGTCTGTGGGCCATCTTCACTCTACATTACAGTCAGCAGAGTGTTGCTTGGGGAAGGG